TATATTAACTTTTTTTTTAGAATAAGCAAAAAATTTATTTGTTCTGAATATTTTCTATATATTTTATTAAAAAAAAAATAAAAACTAATACTTTGTTGAACTACCTTCAGCTGCTATACATGAGTGGTAAGGTGAAGATGCTTTGAATTTTGTGTAATAATCTTTTTGAGTGAAGATTGTGCATTTGAATCAAAAAGTGGCTTTGAGTCACAACGTTTTTTTGGTATTGCAGAACTAGTTTCTTTAAAATGTTTTATGGCATCATGGACAGTTGTTTTACCACATTGAACGATGTTAGCAATTTTTTGATATGAATCACCTCGTTTGTGGCCGTAAAGAATTGTTCCATATTGTTCAACATTTAATTCTTTTGTTTTAACCATTTTTATTTGAAAGAAAATTATTTGTTATTATTGTGATCGACATCCATTTATATCCTAAATAAATGCTTAAATTAGAAATATATGTAAACATGTAAATAAAACGAATAAACAAAAAATACTTATCATTCGGGTACCCGTGATCACCCTCTGTATATGTCTCAACCTGTTTCACACTATGTCCTAAATATCCTATCTGTCCCATCTATATCCCATCAGCATCCCATCAGTGTCCTATCAATGTTCTATGACAATACTGAGTGTAACTATATAGAGGTCTGACTGTATCAAATATCCCTTAAACTATAGAGGTTCACTGACAAATTTGCTTACTTATTTACTATAAATTCACTTCTGATTTATTTTTATGAAAAATTAAAATTTTTAAAATAATTTTATATATTATAGTAAATTTTATTTTTTAATTATATAATAAATAATTTAAGGTTACTTATAAGCTAAAATTTGTAATTTTTAAAAAAATTATAAATCAAAAATTTTATTATTGACCTTTGATTATCTTATTAACATTTACTTTTAGCAATATTAATTATAATAGAATATTATAAAATTTATCATGAAAAATAACTTTAATTATTACAAATTTATAATTTACTAAGAATTTTATGATTTTTATTAATAGTAAAATGATTCAATTAGTTCATTAACATATAAATTTTAAGAAAATTTTTAAAAAATTATTATAAATTTTTTAAAACTTAATTTAAAAAATTGAATTATTTAAAAACTTCTTAATAAACTTAAAATTCTTTTAATAAAATATTAATTTTTTAATAAAAAAATAAAATATTAATATTAATAATATAATTATTATATAAAAATATAGTTTAATATATATTTTATCAACTTTATTTTTATGTTTGCAGACAAATTAGTCTGCTCTACAGTTTAAGGGATAATAGATTAATCTGCAAGCTGATAACAGGATATAATGAAACAAATATCCTTTTATTGCTTTAAAAATTAAATAAATAATTTAAATTATTTTAATAAAAACTTAACAAATAAAAACTATTTTAGCTATATTATAAATTATTAATACATTAAAATTTAAATTATTACAGAAAAGAATTTTTATAAGATCATTCTTTAGTTTTATGATCATTTAATTATTTTCAATCATAATGTTAAAATTATTTATATGTCTAGTATTAATTAATAGATTGTTGATACATTATATTCCCTTTTTCAATGTATTGTTAAGTGTGACTCCGGAGAACGGATGCCGTTGTTGCAGCCTTCCTTACTTTAACAATTGGGTGAGAGAATTTGTGATACAATTAATGATAAATTTCGGAATTTTGAAGTTTTTCATAAAGAAAGAGAAAATTCCTTATTCCACTGGATAAGGAAATCTTAACAATGATGGAATTACTAATTGTGGTCAAATTGACAATCACTCTCGTGTTGAAAGATCCTCACCAATCAATTTGGTTTAAAAAAGTTTTTTTGTTTTTCGTTGTTTCGAAAAAGTATATAAAGGGATTTATTTTTATCATCGAAATTCGATCAATTAAAAAAAGGTTTTTTTTTTTTCCTTAGTTCACCGTTGGAAATATGTTTAATTCACAAAGAAATAACATCAATGGTCAGTATTTTTCTCATTCGACAGAATTAATTAATCATCCTAATCATAGAACAACAATTAATAATACCGAATCAACACCATCAACAAGACAAAATTCAACTTCTACAAATCAAATTGCAAGACTTGTTAGAAGGTTAGTTAACGGAAATTTATCAAGATCAAATAATTCTCCTAGTTCAAGATCACAAACAACCAGGACACAAGTGCAAGATGCAAGACCATCAACTCCAACACCAACTCATACAATTG